GCTGAATTGAGACTCAACTCCAAAAAAGAAATTACTTATTTCTTATTGGTTTGTCTTTATTTTATGTGTTGTATTGTAATGTATATGTTCTGATCAAAACCTATTTACAGTTGGATTACATTGTTACGGTCATGTTCTCTTCGATTAAAAACTTTATTTGTTAACCCAATATAGCTCGTCATTTCATAAATGATGCATAAACGTGCTATGATTGTTTAATGAGAATATATAAATTGTACCCAACGAGAAAGATTCTATGCGCAATCAACGAAAAAATGCCGAACACGGCCACGGTCTCTGTTATAGTCAATTCCAAAGAAATCGTCAATAACAAAGTCATTCAAGGGGTGGCAACGTACCAGTACGAGCCCGAGTGTTTCCAAAACATTACGTACAAATACTTTTCAAATACTGCTCACGGAAACTGTCGACAAGATTTTAACGTCGGCGATTTTGTTCAATTTACGGGGAAACTGGTATATGAGAACGAAACCCACAGAAACCAATTTACCCGATAACGCTCTCCCTCTATCAACTCAAAGATTCCCACAACAATAAAATTTTCCTATTATTTACCCCTGACTTAAATGTGAGTACATTATGAACTTCATATGCCTTATATGAGATTGATATTAATATTGGTTGATATATGATAATCAAGTGGGATAGCAATAATAATAAGTAAATGATTTTGCTTACAGCTCCCCCTTTGTCATGCGCCGCTCACTAGTTAGATAACTAAAATTAGATGGAGACAGTGCTTCGCACGTGATGAAGATTTGTCCATTCATCGAAAAAATTTTGTAGAAAAGCATGAAACTTTATTCATCAGCTCAGTTTAAGCCGTTTTATCACGTGCGTCACATATCGATATTAATATGTATTAGTGTTACTTAATTCTACAGTACATAAATAGATAACTAAAATCATTGGTCGTAGATACGTAAAAGAGTTTAAACTGATAACCCGATGATTTGGTAACAATTGACAGTTAGTTGATTTTCAACCAATAGGATAGTGTCTATCCAAACCGTGCGGGGATGGACTGAACAATTAATATTAATAAAGAATCGAACCACTTACAGTCACAATCCTTGCTTGCGGAACAGAATTTTGCAATAGCACGTGAAGCTTATAACATAACACGTTCAGGTTATCGTGTCGTATGCTCTTTGAGTATTATCTATTATTATACCTGTGTAATATAAACATTGCATGGCATAACCACAGGAATGTTCTAAAGTTGGTTGTTTTTTTATTATTGTTGTTGAGCGCGCAACAAATTTGGGAGTTATGAGGTGATTGTAGGAGGGGTACTTGTGATTGTAACTGGTGTTAAGTTCAATGTCCAATAATATAAGCAGTCACAGGGCTGGAAGCAGTCTTGCCAAGTATGCTCAGTGTTCGTAATATATGTTCAATTGTTGGAAGCTATGAAACTGGATCCGGTTAGTCCGTTGTGACTATTATGGTTTTAAATCAAAAAACTGCCGATTTTTTAGAGAGTCATAGAAATGCATTTATACCTCAAGAGGAATGATGAGAGATTTATGAATATTTTTTTCTCTACTGTTTTATACAGTTCATTGTTACACATGAATACTCGTCTCAAACGAAGAATAATAACATCTAGTGTTCAAACTTAACCTCTTTAGCCTTTTTGTCTAATAAGAATGTTCATCCCGCACAGTGGATGACCCACAAAAACGAAACCAACCAACAGAATCTAACAGAGAAACGCAATGCGGCATTAATGAATATCAGAAAATTCGGATCAAAGGAACGATTGGCACAAATATGCGCCTTGGATTAGTAAAAACGTAATTAAGCGATGCGGGTTGTCTTGTCTTCGGTTGAATAGCGATAGAAATCTTTACATCACCATCAATCCCCGAAGCAAACTCATTACCCTCATCATCTCTATGTTGTTTAGTTTCTAACTGGGGTAGCATGACTAGGGAGATTATTCACAGATGGTGGTTGCCCTGAGCGGCGTTCGTAAAATTCAATTCGACTGTTATCCGTCATGAATAGTTACACAATAGACGCTATAAATGAGTGATAATTATAACAAAACAGAACAGCAGATTAAAATTCCAACACTTACGCATACCAAGCCCCTTGATTTAAAAACAAATGCAAGAAGCAGTTTAAAGGTTAGTTATCAGATATAGCCTGCTAAATATCATACATTCTAATTTGAAACACTTACCTCCAAGCAAAGTGAGGAAAATACCCAAACCATTTGTTGGCGTTATCGTGAGGTTGAATATCACTACTGCCAGAATTATTGAAAGTACCTGCTTGACATTCCCTGCAACCGTCATAGTCAATGGAGATGTCTTCTTATTTGCTGTGAAACTAACGTAATTCAAGAAAAAAGCGATGATTCCATTTGCCACTAAAGCAATGACAAGGGATGTAGTCATTGAATTTTTACTGAACGTTCTAACTCTGTTCAACTCTCCAGTCACGTAAGCATAGATAACAGTCTGGACAAAGGCCAATGGTGACATCCGCAGTAACAGATCAAAGGGATGCAATTTTAGACGACCAACTAAGACACGGTTGGTAACAACAGTTTTCAAAGCAGCTAACAACGTGCCGAGCACGGTAAGGAAGAAGCCTAATATAATAAGAGCTTGTTATCCATTTTCCATAACCTCACTTAGAAGTCCATTCTCTTCCCCAGAAAGCTTCTTACCCATTTTCGTAAAGTAATAATCGCCAACTGTAGCAAATACAACACCGAAGATAACCTTTGCGCAACATTTAATTGAATCAGATCTGGAGAAACCTTTATGCAATGGCTTCAGAAATCTAAAAAAAAAAAATACTTACCGGCAGCAAGGAGATATACGTCATAGTTGAAAAATGTCTTTTGAGAAATACAATCGATAACATTATAGTAAAGAGTGGTGTCATTGCTCTGACTACCTGATGAAACTATAAATGCGGATCCGAAAATCAGTGACGCTCGTCGAATGAAAATCAATAGTTCAAATTGATCAACCTTACCGGCACAGTGACAAGATGCCTTCCAACGATTTAGTTTTAAATATAAGTAGACGGATGCATCAATTAGTGTACTGCCCATGATAAATAATATCTTAATCAAATATGCTTATGCTCAAAAAATCGTCAAAATTCACTAATGTTTTGCGTTCTTGATTCTGATAAGCGATCATGTACTAGGATTCTTACGGAACCGTAGTAATAAATAATTGAACCACACTATGTCAAAAACATGTTTATATAAGAGTACTTACAAAGAAACATTACTAATGGCAATGTTAATAGTATATAATACTGAGAACAGTAACATTTGCATGCTTTCACGTTCTGTTAAGTGCATTGGAGTAAATACTCCAAGCCAATAAAACAGGTATGAGCCGATCGCACCACATAATGCGTGAACGCCCGTTAATGTCCATGGGAAGGGAAAATCAAAAAGCTGCATCACAGCTTTATTGTATAGAGTCAAGGCTAGATTGAGGACGAAATATAGGACAAGCCAGACAGCAGAGGCATTCTGCACCGTAACTTCGGTGTTCCTTTTGCCAGATTCCACCATCGATTTATGGTCGCTTTAACAATAGGAGATGTCCGGCTTAGTGAGGGCGGTTATTTTTCAAGACGAGAGTCAAGATGGCTTGCGAGGAGTGAAAATGGTATGTGGTGTTGCTTCGGATATCATTTATAACTTTGGACATGGCACGTGCTCCCATATAGTAAATAACGCCTCACAAGATTTCAGGGGCTTACAAACGCCACGTTTAGTGGCTCCAAATTCCAACAAATAAGTCTTCTCATATTAACATGGGCACGCTGCAACAAACCAGAACATTTTATTATGCCGCCAAATGCAACGCTGGTGCTAAAAATTGCTAGTGAGGCTAAAAATTGATAAAGTGTCTGGTTCTTTTTTTACTTTAATTTAATACTAGTGCCAGCCAATGGCATGTCTGAATTAATAAATTTTAATTTGAGGTAACAGTTTTACTTGCAATTATCAATGTATTTTATATAGGCGTATTTGTATATAATTTACATTAACCATCAGAATCTAAAAACTTTAGCACATTGAGAAGCATTCTAAAAAAGAACAATGACAAAAATTGCGTTTACATTTTAAATCAACCTCTCCAGGAATATCCAGATAAAGAAAAATTTGCTTACAAAATTTACCAAGAGGAACGAAAATAAATAGCGATAATCGAATCTTAACAATGGCTTATGATAATCCAAGAAAGAAACAAAAATTAGAAGACAGGTAAGGGAAAACCGGTTAACGTTCGTTAGTCTTGATTTACATTTCGCTAATTTGATAATAATAAATGGTAACAACGTAACAGTAATTTTATTATTTTATTATTATTACAAAAAAAGCAGCCTCTCCTCAACCACAATATCATAATAAACATGGTCCATTATTTTAGGAATTCGCACGTATGGGATGTCATTTTCCCGTTTAAATGCGTCGTCTTTGTGAACACTTAAATCTTTCGCACTTTGGCTGTGCGGTGCGATTGCTCTTAAAAATATAAATAGTAGTAAAAGCACCAGAGTTTTTTTTGGTCACTCTAGCGGTAATTTACTTTTTTTACCATTGCTATTATTAATAACATTATCAGAATCGTCTATTTCGTTATCTTCATCCCCATCTGAGTGGTTTATATTTTCCGTCAATCCAGCGTTGAATTGCCTTTTTACATGGAGTTATAAATAGTTTTTATCGCAGAGAAAAGTAGACCGTATCAGTAAGTATCAATGTCACTAAGCATTTTGTGAAATGAAAAATCCGAGTCCAAATTAAGCTATTTGTCAAATAAGATTTTAAAGTTCTTCCACAAGCATTCGATTTCTGGTGCTGGCCAATTTGTTTGCTACGCATGTAGTCTTGATTTTTCTTCAGCTTTATTAAATTGATTACTTTATTAATTTTCTGATTTATAATACGCAGCTGATCTTTGTAATAAGTTGAAAATCCACCGATCAATAATCCAAGAATAAATTCTTTGTGAGAAGAAACATATTGAAATAATAAAGTCTGTTGGAGAGATTTTGTAAAAACAGTTTACGCAAAGCTTTTTTGTAAAATGGCTCAATTTCTGTCGCTTTATACAAACTTTTCTTGAGTAAGTAATCAATGTGCGCAAATTTTTGCGCATTAATTATCTTTGGAAACAATATAGCATGTAAAAATCTAGAAAGTTACTAATTGAGTAAGTATTGCGCGCAAAATTGTATGCTTTGTTATAAACTTGTGCGCGGAAATTGCACGTCTTGACGATCTTGAGCAAGACAAAAAAGGCAAATTCTTCGTTTATTTGCCAAGAACCTAGTGTAAAAGAAGAAGTTTGCGGCGTTTTTTTCTGGAGTCGGCAACATGTAATGTTATCGTAATTGCTACTAACAACTGTTGTTATTACCTGTACTATTCTTTAACGTGCGTACTTTGCCATCAAAAAATTTGTTATGCGACTTTGGAGTAATATACAATTGGAATAGTGGTAAAATAAGTTTATTGTAATTATATTAAACCAACTTAATTTAGATTATATTCATATCCACTCGGTGACAATGAGCTTGCATTTGCGTCGTCTGGTACCCATAGACACATGCGTTAGAGAAAATAAATTTAACTTCTAGACACCATTGGAAATGACAGTTGGGAATGCGCGAATGAACTGTTAGCGTGCTTATATATGCTTTTCCTAACCCACGCCCCCCAAAAAATCTATTCTCATTACTTCATTTTTGATTTGTTCAGCAGATTTTTTATTGTTATTCTTAACAATAGTTTTAGCGTTTTTGACTTTCATGTGACAACAATCTTGGACGCCCACTCAGGGGACAAGTAGCAAGATTGTCTTCGTTAATATACTTTCTGATAGTACAAAAGACAGTTGTTCTATGAACTTTGAGAGTTTTACTGGTTTGGATATTGGTTGGTTATTCTTATAATTTCACCGCGTTGGCTTCCAGTTAAATGATACATTTTAGAAATACTATAAGGTGTTGAGCTATTTTATTTATATAATTTTATGTTTGTTTGCAAAAAAACGCGAAATTACATACACGTCTATTCGAAAGCAAGACTATAACAGATTAAATTTTGAGACATGATTATTACGTACGATTTTGTGCAATTAAAAATTTTAGCTGTGCGATACTTTTATTTATCTTATTGTAATGTACCGAAAGAAAATATTTTAAAGGTACAAGAACTTATCGGCCTACCAATTATTCTCAAATACTGTATTGGTATCCTCTTCATAAATACCTTATTATTATTACTAAATTGCGCTCTGCGAATAATGCTGTTGACTCTTGTCATAGTTATCTGATGCGACAATTCTTTGATGGGTACTTTACACAAATATACTTTCTCCCATCAAAGTATTTCCCTGATGAGCTGAAAAACTATTTTTTATTTAAAAAACTGAAGTTGAACTACGTTGCCGTTTGGTAAGTTTGCGCGTGCAACGACATTGGTCGTCTGAATGCGAAACTTAATCCATTATAAATAATTCGAAAATTTATTAATTGAATCTTAGGAAAGAATATACGTATCTTGCAACCAACATATTTCCAGAGCATTGTGTTTAGACCTCGAATCGTCCGTGAGGAAAATGATCGCGTCTACTTGTGGACCGCGCCCGAAAAGGGCATATTCAGGAAGAATTGTTTTTAATAAATAATCGCAATTTCCGAGTTTGTCTGAGATAATAAATAGCCCGAGCGGAAGAACACCGATTGCGCAGTTAGTATAGAGGGGAGTAATCGACATGTTAATGTGTTCAATAAAGCAGAAGCGTTCATATGACACAGCTCGCGTGTTTATGAAAAAGCGCTCGCTGCACTCTGGTTTTGGCGTCAAATTCTTGCAACGCCGATGTTGAATTGTTGTATTCTCCGACAATAGGTCTTTATTACGACTGCCAAGTGCTTCTGAAAAAAAGGCTATCTCCAGTAAAGAACTAAGTTCCAGTAAAGTGTAGGTTGTAAAACCATAAACATTCCAATATAGAACGGTGATTGGGTGAAATGACTATCACATGATAAATTATGCATAATCACGGGAGAAAATTTTTGTATTGAACGCTTTTCGACATAAAATCGTTACAATATGCCTATAATAAAGCCGTCACAAATCAAAAATAAGATAAAACGTGAGGGAGTCTATGCTAAACAAAAACAAGAAAACAGTCGTCGGAAACTACGAGAACGAATAAAACGTCGCAAGGAAGAAGCCGAAAATCCAGAAGCAAAAAAGGTGATACAATACACGCCTGGAGAAAGATGAGGAGCTTCATGAGCTGAAATGTTCTTATTGATTTAGGCTCGGCTTGAGACAAATGTTCCCAAGACCCTCGAAAGCACCCGAGAGTTTGATGAAACAATCGTGCCGCCTGATGACTTGGAAGTTATAGAAGACGAAACGTCCGACGAATTTGCTTCTTATTTTCGGGAAGGACATTCTCCCAAGCTGCTCATAACAACCAGCAAAATTGCCTCTAAAGCGTCATACGAATTGGCTACCGAATTAGTTGATGTCTTTCCTAATAGTCAATACGTGAGAAGAGGAAAGAAATTCTCTATTGCACAAATTATAGAATTTTGCACAAACCGAGGCTATACCGACGTTATGGTGATTAACGAAGATCGAAAAATATCCAGTAAATAAAGCATCTTCCTAATTTTGTTTCTGTTTGATATCGTACGACTAACAATATCTCTGGCATTCGCAGATGCGATCACTCTAATACATTTACCAGAAGGACCGACGGCGTACTTTAAATTGACAAGTGTCAAGCTGGGTAAAGAGATTCAGGTAAACGACCAGAGATAAAGTGGGTTATTTGCAGTTTATTGTCTATATGCCTAACCAATTATTCGATAATATTGAAGGGTAATGGACGTTCGACAGGTCACAAGCCAGAACTCATTCTTAACAACTTTAACACGCGCCTTGGTCATACCATTGGTCGTTGGCTTCAAGCATTATTCCCCCACGTACCTGAATTCAAAGGAAGACAAGTTGCGACCTTCCATAATCAGCGTGATTTTATTTTCTTCCGACGTCATCGGTAGGTCAGATACTTTATTCAATTAACATATATCTTTCTCGTATTGACACCCGATATCGATACGTTAGATATGTCTTCAAAAATAAAGATCATGCAGATTTACAAGAGCTCGGGCCAAGATTCACATTGAAGCTCAAGTCATTACAAAAAGGTCTTTTGGATAAAGATGGCGACTACGAGTGGTTGTCCAAGGTAAGTTTAATATTAATTTATCTTTGTCGATTGCAGATGAACTAATTCTCCACAACTAAATACAGCCAGAGTTGGAGACGAGCCGAAGACGCTTTTTCCTATGAATTAGGAATGTAAGTTCAGCAATGGACCATGTTTGAAGGGTTAGTATGCACAAAACTAATATATCGATAAATAAAATTATGATAAATAAAATAACGATAAATAAAGAAAAACGTTTTTTTTTTGACTCCACGTAAGGTATTCGTTCTTTATTATTTTGTCGTTTCCTTATGCATCAGTAAGTAAGTTTCACGCACAAAGGAAGTTGAAACTCTATAATAATAAGAGAATATGTTACAAGAATTAAAGTGCATCTACTCTAATCCATACTATTACATTTACTAAAGGGAATGTAAGAATGGGAGCAAATCAATTGTCCCAATCAATTGTCTTTTAAAAATTATTCTGACATGTAACTTGTTTAACGTTTTAATTTCGTATTTTCGTTTCCGGGTATCCTTCCGTATAGTTGAACTGAGCCAATGATTTAGACTGTATAAGAAGGAGGACGTTGTTTCACGTCACTGTTGCTATTATTGACTATTTTACGTCGTTCCTTGAGCATAACACCGCCGAAGCTACCAAGAAGCATGTATATTATGCCAATTATGAATACGAGCCAGCCCGGGACTACCACGAATATGAACAGACTGTGACCGAGAAATGATAAACTATTGATTCCACTATCGTAGCCAAGAACAAGAGATCCAATACTAGAGAGAATTTTGAGATTATTAAACAAATATAACAGAAATGTGTATTATTTTACGCAATTCGTTTTCTCTATGGTTTGTATACTTACATAATTTGCAGAAAACCGAAGAAGGACCAACTGTGCGTTTCATCCAGCATAGGAAACCAGTAAAACAGTCTCTTGGGCCAGCCGAATTCGGCAAATATTAAGACAATAGACACCAATGCAAAAACACATCGGTTAAGAAATTGAAATATAGTATTACTCTGTCCCAGGCTGGGGAATCCTTTAACGTTTACAATTACACACGTAGCGATGACCAGCATCATGGATATAATGGAAAGCACGCGCAGCGTGTTGAGTGCAAACCACGTACTGTTCAATGACATTACGGTGCGTGATCAAAGAGAATAATTTAAAAGAGACAAAAGAACGGGATAAATGGAAAAGAGGATGCGAGGATGGGTTCTTTTAGACTGATGCTAGCGAGGTTATTTATGAATGCATGGAGTGAGAATTAGCATCATTCCGTGCAGGCTGATTTATAGAGTATTGGGTAGACAAAGGGACGATTTATATCCAATCAGAGTAAACACATAAAAGTATTGTGTGGAAATCTTGTTTCACATATTATGCTATTCTTTGTATGAAATAGCATGTGGTCTGCTTGTTACCTTATTGTTTACCAGGACGAGTGACCTTAAATGGAGAAAAAAAGAACACTAATGGACACATAGGCCAATAGTGACCTTTATTCCTAAAACGAATTTGAGACAGCTGCAAAGTATAAACCTTCAAGTTATTAATACCCCTCAATGAAACTACTATTTTCGTCTAGTTACACAACCCATGAATAGAATGAAACTTATTTGATATACAGGGACGCTGATCGACGCTCAAACAACGTAGCGTATGTTTCAAACCAAGTCTTTTTTAGTCCATGTGGACTATCTGGCTGTTTATGTTAGAGTTAACTATCCGTATGAGAAATTCTACTCTCGGACAAGAACCAAGACTCAATTCGTTCATGGCTGCCGGTAGCCTATCATCGCAAAGTAGTCGCCTTTCGTCTTTAGCTAATCCGCTGTATACTTTACCATGCAAACGCAACGTCTTACAATCAAGATAACTGTCGAGTATGGTCGCCACCATAAAAGTATGACGCCATTCATCGTTTGATGGTATATAGCCACTAAAAGGTTTGGTCCGAAAATATACTTTGACTATTTTGTTTAAATCAAGAGGCTGCGATTTACTTCCTTGATGCAAGTCTTCGAGATTGGTGTCTTGCAAAGCCACATCCAAATATCGTGTTCTGAATGTGCTGAGTGGGATTGTCTGTTACATATACGTTAAATGAGCCTCCAGATAGACAGCAGCAAAAACAATAAATTTGCGTCCCATAGTTTCTCAAATATCTTGGTTACCTGCACGAACGTACGAAAAGGCTCTGATCCCAAGTTTTTCGTATGTAGATATGCGTCACGCGCTAACGTCACAGGACATATCAGACCAGCGTACGAGAGAAGAATTATCTTGCAAGCATATATGAGTTAAGATAGCAGATCAACAAGATAATGCTTGCCATCGATGTACATTATAGACTATACCAGTTTGAAGAGCCGCTGAACCAAATACATGACATTAATACAATTTTTGTCTGTAAATGGAATAAACAAAGCCTGAATCGGTCCGCTGACATTAGTTCGTACTCGCCCAATCTCTACCGGGAATAATTGCAATATCAATGACGATTCCAAGTCGTCTGCACAATGAGAAAAGAATATCAATTATGTAAACAGTCATTCTAAACGAAATAAACAGTATTAACCTTTCTTGTCCTTCATATCATACTCGAAAACATTGACAATGTGCTCGAGTAGAAGCAGTTCTCGAGTAACCTAATTTGTAAAAGTCAACTTTTAAGCCATTAATCAAGTCGGGCTTAATTTTATTTTCCAGCTGAAACGAAGGAGTCGCCTCTCGACGAGTTCGCCAATCTGTTGCATAAGTACACGTACTTGCACAGATTTGTCCTCACTTGACGCTCGTATTCTTTTCTCAATAAATTTCCAAAAATCCGTATAGCCTTCCCAAAGAACCCCGTCGTCTTTGTCAACCCGCTCGGGCTTCCATACGACCTGATACGCTTGGGCTCCACTAGTTTGTAGGACGCGTTGTAAGACGACAAACGCCCGATATGCAGTGTCCTGTTCGATCTGATCGTTAACAATTACATCCATCATTTGCCGCATTTCTTGTCTATCCATTAACACACTTCGTTAATAGAAATTTTACGAAGTTCAAAAAGAACTGAACAGATATAATTACTCGGATGGATGATATCGATTGCTCTGAAACGCGTCGAGAAGATCAATAGCTGCAACATCTACAGAATATCCAATTCGTTATGAAAGGCTTCGAACATGTGTTAATCGACAAACACAGCGTAAGCATCATACAATGCTTTTCCTCAAGACAGTTCTCAATTAAAGATCGGTGAGTCACTGGCAACTGTGTTGCGGGCGTCTTTCTTGTACTAGCGTCATTATCGGAGTAAATACATAAACACTCATGTAACTCAATTAAATCAGGACGGGTCTTTAATATGGTCTGTGCTGATTTCCAGACCGCTTCTTTACCCGAAATGCTGACTAAATACTCTAGCGTATCCTGATACAGCAAAAAGATGTACGTTTTAGCGTATGTGACCTAATTATGAAAGGTTAATATTAAATCGATTTCTATAAACCTTTCTTAGACGTGTTTGCGTTATAGAGTTCATGTTCCGATTTGAAAACTGTATCAGACTAAGACGGACTTTGTCGTCGTGTTTAATCACGTGAATGTTTAACAAATGGCCCGCGTGTGTCAGCAGTGGCCGGGTCACCGTTTAAATCATGCAACTTCCTGGCTTTGTCCAAGAGCCGGCCGTCCAACTGATAGGAGATAAATGTTATACCTCACTAGTCGAACAGTTTAATGTTGGCGACGTCGACTGTATGAAACTTGTTCTCTCAAAAGTACTTGGTCTTGGGATTGTTGTGGGTGGCTCGCTCTTGAAGTTCCCGCAAATTGTCAAGATAATTTCCAATGGATCAGCACAGGGCTTGAGCTTCGAGAGTTATGTACTAGAAACGGCCGCATACGCTATCAGTGTTGCATACAACTACAGACAACAGAATCCCTTTAGTACTTTTGGGGAAAGTGTCTTTCTGACAATTCAGGACATTATTATCTTACTACTGATATTAAACTATCGCAAGAGTCCAAGGTTACTGTTTGCTGCTGGACTGATTATTGTCACTTTAAGTTATGTTCTCAGTAACGCATCCATAGTCAATGACACAATGATAGCATGGTTACAAGTAGCAGCTATTCCAACAGGGCTTGTATCAAAAATTCCTCAAATCTACACAAATTATGTTAATGGGAGTACTGGACAGTTATCGGCACTTGCTGTATTTGGGTATATGGCAGGATCTTTGGCAAGAATATTTACTACCATTACCGAAGTGGATGACCTGATTATCTTGACAGGATTTTTGCTGTCTACGGCGTTGAACGCTATTTTGACACTTCAAATGATTATATATTGGCATTCCGATAAGCTGTCTCCGAAGAAAGAGGAGTGATGGTGATGTTTTGGGGCTTAGCTGTCGCTATCGAGCTTATAATATAGCAAATCGAAACATATGACTGATAATTTACAAGTTTCATATATTTGATTAAATGCACGTTCTGAAGCAATCGACTAATGCTTTGCTATTCATCTATATAGATATTCATTAAACAATAATCAAAAGTTACAGATGACGGTTATGATAACATTTTTATTTCATAATGTTCGCATGATATCATTTATCGTTGTCCCCGTTATTTTTCTCATCGGACGTTTCATATACTACCTCATAGTCTTTACTTAACCGTGCCTGATGTGTAAGATCAGCTTTTGAATGATGTTTCTGGTCATCCTCTGTCATTGACTGGATAACGGTCATTTCTTCATTCGTCAAAACTAGTTTGTAAAATGTTTCTTCATCTTGCTGTTCTTCCCGCTTTACAACTTCTATTTTACGAAGTAAATCAGCCAACGTTTTAAACTGAATATTCCCCTTTGATACAACTTCTTCCTTGACACTATCAGACAAACCATCTGCCACAATGGCTGATTTATCTTTAGAAGCTGTTCCAGCAGTTTCTTCAGAAGGTCCATCTAGGCTTCTTTCTTTAGACATTTTCTCGTAATTGGCGTCAGACACAATAGGATTACAATTAATTGGATGAACTACAGACTTCGCTTTGTCATGAAATGCCGGATCATCGCATAGACGTGGTGTGTGTATTATCATGTGATAGCTACAAATACTTTCTTCTTCGTAATAAGCGATACTATCCATCGTATTTGGTTCGCAAAGGAACTGTACCAAAAGAGAAGACAAACCAAACATGAATTCTGGGAATTTCCTTATGATTCAAAACATAAAATAGTACGCATCATACCTCTATTTTAATCTGCCGAGGTTTTTTTGTTTTATCACAGGTAGTGCCACCACTTAATTTTTGAACTATTTTCCTCCCTCCGCGGATTCTCTCCAGGCTTGCTCCCTGAATACTCTGGCTATTCTCTTCCACATGATCATCTGATGATGGTAAAGCCGTTCCGCTTGAATCGTACTTTCCAAGAATATAGATTTCCTCTTTCAAATTCCCTTGGATTTTATGGTATTGGCGGGCATAACTTTACACAGAGAAACCTGATATTAGTCCCTTTGTATTTCGGTTAGGTAACAAGAACTGGCATACGCACCGGAGATGGCAATACTCATAAGTAAACCAATCGCGAGGCTAATCAGACCAGACGAGCATGATCAAGATGTTAGTTGTCTACTATTCAATAGTAGCAACAAGCACAATGATGAGAAACTCACACGAGACAGACAATCATCCTTCATTGGCTCGAGAAGTGCAAGACCTCTTTTCAGTATATCGATCTCATCTTCATCCTCTTCATTTATATTGTTATCGAGCTCTGTATTGCTCGAAACTGACGGAATATGACACAGATACAGCTGCCCCTTGGCAGTGCGCATAGTTATATAGTCGGATTCCTGACTTGGCGATTCATCTCGCGAGATGGATATTTGTGAGTTAGCGGACACCATGCTAACTACTTCACCAGACTTACTGTCTTCCTGTAGTATGGAGGTTTAGAACATGAAATAAAGAAGTTGATTGCTGTCATTACCAAAGGGTATTACCTACAGACTTCCTTTCTGTTCCTGCTATTAACTCTGTGGTTGTGCTATTAGCCATAAGTTCCTTTAGAAGCAACAGTTCATACTGTGGATGACCAAGGGGATCCTCATTGATCCAACTGAGCGAGGAGGCTAAAGCTCTACTATTAGAACATAAGAAATTAAATACTACAAAGAGCGATAACAGGATGCCATAGGCATGTTGTAATAGACCTGTCATTCTGCGATCTGCTTGAGACATACAGAATAGTGCAGCGAAATAACATATTTTATCACGTGCGGCATCAATTTCTATTTAAAACGTGTTGAGCAGCTATTTGGAGATGGAGTATTTCCTCTTTCCAACAAAAAGTCATGACGCGAGCGTGTTTCCCGTTGCATTACTTGAAATTTCTGTTGGTTGTGCTGATATTATTCGCAAGTACTCGTTCCGATGGGGCTATTTCAATCCAAAACCTAAAATTAACTGTAATAACTCCTGAAAGAGAAGCGCAAATATCCAAGAGGTGAACTAGGATATGTTTTAAAAAACATTGCTCGTCTTTATGAATTCACGTGTAATCGTAACAATGTGTGTTTGGCTTGTTTACATTCAGTCTTGCCTATCCCGAAACATTATCTTCGCCTCTCATTCTCTCTCCAGATGATACCTTCAAACTTTCGTTGAATATACAAGAAAAAGATAGTGACAAAGCCTTTCATCCGCACCAAGCTCTGTTGACCTTGACAGATGAAAAAACAAGAGAGCAATACTTGCTAGTTATCAAAGTACGAGAAAAAGGGAAAGCAAGGGTCGAACTGGTTAGTAGATCGAGTGATTGTAATGAACCATTGCCCTGGTTTCTATATATCTTATTCATACATTCTGTGACATAGGATATGAAAGCTGCACCAGATGATCTTACATCACACTCGGGCAATTATTCGATGGAAATTATTCTGGGAACGCCCTCACATAGTAACCCGTTCAGATACCGTATTGGTACTTTAAACATCGAAGGAACAATCAAATCGCCACGAAAAGCTCCAATTGTTTATGGTCCACGACCGGAAATACATCACGTATTTCGTGATGGTGAACGATCGCCTTCACTATGGATATCATACACATTCTCAATTATTGCCTTGACACCATGGATAGTATTAGTTGGAGGGGTAATTTGAGAATCAACTAATCTTGACTTTACTATCTCTTTCGTCATGGTTTACATTATACTAATTACTATTTCTAAATCTACCTCTATTAGTGGAAATATATTAAAGTTAATTTATCTCTTCTACTCAGCAAGCCGACCGAATCACTCCCAGTAATAGCGTTCTTGTCATCGTTACTGGCAATGGAAACTCTTCTATTCGGTTACTGGATTAGTCTTAACTTACTCCAGACATTGCCCTGGTTGGCTGCCTCAAGTTTAGTGGCATTCGTGACCGGACAGAGAGCTTTGACTAAAGTACAAACATGGAGGTTGGACGGTTTGCATTAACGACTTTAAACGAGAAGAATAGACAGAGAAAAATTTGTGGTTGGGCCTGCATCGTTGTGTGTATCCAAAACCTTAATTAAACATCATAACGAATAAGTTACTGATCGAATAAATTAGCCAATGTCTTCTTCTTGGATGCTCTGCTTTCCCCGATCACTCTTGAAATCGGCCCATATCAGCAAACCAAAAGCCGCCAGAATGCATAGACTACCGACTACAGTGCCTAACGCAACGGATGTGTGTGTGACTAGCATATCCACCTAAAATCACTTATATAATGAGTTTGATTTACAAGAATAGAACGTTGCCTGCCAAGCATAATTCATATTACAAACCATTGTCACAATTGGTATCGTCACCATAACACCTATGGAGGCAAAGAGCTGTTCGTAGGCAAATTTTATTAGGACATGAGAAAAGATAAAGATAAAGACAACACCATAATATGTATAATGCAACCAAAAGTTTCATGTCCTTACCGGATTGGTCAAGGCAATGGAAAACATGAAGCTTGCATTGAAAAAAACGCCAGCTGATGCGTTTAATAGAATGTACCCAAATGTCCTTGCAGATGGAAGTGCAAATGGTTCTATGCCGGTTATGTGCAATATGGGAATCGGAATCCAGAGAAATAAGAACGTAAAAACTCCCATAAGTCCGGTTAACGTGTTCGCAAATAGACCGGATGGAGTTGAAGGTGATGCGTATTTCTTGTAAAGAACTTCGTATAATCCATAAAACGATGCTCCGATGCAAGCAATCACGTTGCCCGCTACGAAGTCATAACCATAGTTCATTGGGACCTGATCTTCCTTAGGTGCATTTTTTTGGTTTGACATTATAACTATCCCTATAATACTCAAAGCCACCGCAATCACCTTCTGTAACTTAAGTGATTCTCCTAATAACAAAATCGAAAAAATATAAGCGAAAAAACAGCTCGTGTTGTATATCGCGGTTAAATTGGCCATTGCAATCAGATTTACTGCAATATACCAGATATAAGCGGGCACACAAATGCTGATAGCGAAAAATGCCGCCAATTTGAACAGATGAACAACAACATGGCGATATTGTTTAGAAAGAATCATATCATAGGCTGTTGCATCAATCTGACACTCAGTTTCATCTTCATCATCTGTAAGAAAAGTGCGAGCTTCTTTGCCAAACGAAGTAACAAGTTGTGATCCGACCATGAGTAACTCTCTGATGTAATTCTGTGGATTCGAGCCGATTGCAATTTGAAGAGGAATAATAAAGGTATAGCAGCTGTGAGATATCCACCTACCATTTTGGATGTATAAACAATTGATTATTATCGAAAATTGTCTTGACTATTGATATAGTTGTTAGAAAAGATGACTTACAATATAAAATACGGTTTATGATATTCCATGTCTTTCTGAACAAACTGTGTTATTTCCTGTAATTTATAAAAAGTTTCAGCGAACAAAATGTTAGAAACTTGGATCTGTTCACCGGGATACTTTTCGGCTATGAATATACGTCTAGCGTCAATACTAACCGTCTGAGCAACAAAGGAAGCCACACATATACCGAGAACCCCAAGTCCAAGATATTTACGTGAAAGAACATTCTTTCTATTAAACCCAGGTAAGACCGTATGCAAGTTTTGCTCATTTAAGAAGTGAGATATCTCGTCGTCGCTGTGTAAAGGCATAACACTCGGGTTGTGAAAATCCTGTAAGGCGATCACCGTTATTATTATTGAAATACAGAAATAGTAAACCACACAATTTTAGCGGTTGTGCAACTCACTAGATTATTTCCAGTATTCGTTTTCGAAACGAGTGCGTCCTCTAGCGTATTTTTACTTATGATAGTGTCATCAAAAGTATATCTTGCTCAAATGGCCAGTTTCCATGTCTCATCAATGGTGTGCCAAGACTAGAATATATTAAAAGGTTCTCTGGCAAAAGATGTATCTGGTTAGCTGAGACTCAGAAAATGCCCACCGCTGGTGTGCAGAATTGAAAATTGTCCCCACTCTTGAATCAGTTGTGGACATTGATAAACTTGCAGCTGGTGAGATTGCTATACAGCAGGCAGTTTTGACAGCAATGAATACTCTTCATGAAAATGACTTGGTTCATGGAGACCTTCATGCAACAAATATTCTCTGGAGAAGTGAAGGGGTAAGATTTGTTGATTTGACTGGGTGGGCAAGAATGGAGAAGCAAGGTACCTTAGAAACATGAATCCAGGGATCTTCATAAACCTATTACTATCAGAATTGAACATGACCAGCATTTGTTAAATATATATAAGGGTGTTGAGTACACTCAGAAGAAACTTTCTGAATGGCATCCAGACTACTGATTACCTTGGGCTGTGTCTGTGCTAGTGCTAGGGAAGGCATCCAGCTTGCTATTACTATGATAATAATAAACCGAGATTTTTATTTTTATTTTGGACTCTCTAGAAAGAATGGGAATTGTAAATCGATGGATCATTTAAAATAATTTTTTAACAAGATAGGCCCATCATTACATGACAGCATTCCATCTTGCCTGCTGTGCTTTGTGTGCTGGGGGGTGCTAATAAAATGCATATGCTTTTGATGAATAATACTGATGTATGAATGAAAATATTTGATTATCATTATCATCTGCAATTACAATATGAATTTGAGATGTATTGATATTAATATTTAGTAGTTCTTCCTGGTTATTATTATGAATTTATTTGTGTTGGGATGGAATTATGCAACAGAATTTAAAATTTCAATCAACACATAGATTATACGTGAATTATAAAACTAATATATATACATATATATAATGTATTTGGTAATTGATATTTCTTAGCATCTGCCCAACTCAGGAACTCTTATTTTTTGAGGAATCGTACCTAAAAACTTCTTGTTCCTGGGAGTATTGTCATTTCTAACTGCTTTCCAAACTCGAATGGCTAATGACTCAGGTCTGTTTTTGCAATTTCTCCAAGCTCTTTGTATAATCCTTGCTTTTCCGAAATCAGTCTTTGGTTTATGCATTCATTCCGATCATCAAATCACGAAGTATGATTAACATATCTTCGTTTAGTAAAATGGAATAATTTTTTGGGCTGTACATCATCTATTTTTATGAGTTTCCAGCAACCAAGACAAATAGCGATATGACTTTTATGGATTCTTGGTCTATAATAATTGAAATTGACAAATTTACCTTTACCAAACGATGCGAATAAACATA